ATGCAGCCACCTGTATTGTTGGGGGAGTTCTTGATTAACATTTGTTTAACAGTGCAAGAGTTTTTAAATGCCACATTGACGTTCCAGGTTTGTTAGTTGTATACCTGGATCACGCACACCTACAGTGATTTGCTTGCATAATGGATTCCAGGCGCCACTTCTTCTACTTCTCTACAAGCTGTCCTTTACCTTCTCCTTTCGTTACTGAATACTCCTCTTCGATGATCAAGGCCTACAAATTGAAAATACGCTTGAAATTTCTCCAGACATGCCTTAGTGAAAAAGTTATGCCTAGATCTATCCCCCCACAACGTGTCCTGAAGATGTCTGACCGCCCCTTTGATGATTTCCGAGAAATCATCCTAAAGAAACATTTTGACGGATTCGGTATGTTTAATGAGACTAGATTCTATAATGTTCCCACTGTCAATTGAATTACAAGGTAACATTGCATTGACTGGGATAATGCCTCCTCAATATTACCTTGTAATTCAATTGACATAAGGAACATTATAGAATCTAGTCTCATTAAACATACCGAATCAGTCAACATGAATTTGAGTAATGGTATGTACAAACTGGATAATTTCGTAATTAAGAAGATTTGTAACCAGGTGAGAAGGTTGGGTCAGCTTACCCTCTGACCTGACTACCAACTGCTGCAGTGCTTTTTGAAGATTAGTAGGATCATTACCTAGTACCTGGCCATTGTGGACTTGATCTCACCCTCCTTTGTATATAAATACCTTGTTTTGTACTTCTCCTTAGTCTGCACTCACCCCTGAAGATGTGAATTACACGAAAGCGCTTGGGAACTTCGTGTTTTCTTCTTTCCTTATGGTTATCAGCATATATATATATATATATATATATATATATATATATATATATATATATATATATATATATATATATATATATATATATATATATATATATATATATATATATATATATATATATATATATATATATATATATATATATATATATATATATATATATATATATATATATATATATATATATATATATATATATATATATATATATATATATATATATATATATATATATATATATATATGCTGATAACCACAAGGAAAGAAGAAAACACGAAGTTCCGAAGCGCTTTCGTGTAATTCACATCTTCAGGGGTGAGTACAGAGTAAGGAGAAGTACAAAACAAGGTGTATATATACAGAGGAGGGTGAGATCAGGTCCACAATGGTCAGGTATTAGGTAATGACCCTACTAATCTTTAAAAAGCACTGCAACGGTCGGTAGTCAGGTCAGAGGGTAAGGTGACCCAACCTTCTCACCTGGTTACAAATCTTCTTAATTACAAAATTGTCCAGTTTGTACATGCCATTACTCAAATTCATGTGAATGCTTCGGTATGTTTAATGACTAGATTCTATGATGTTCCTACTGTTGCTGGATCACGCGCAACTACAGTGATTTACTTGCATAAATGGATTCCACGTGCCACTTCTACTACTTCTCTACAAGCTGTCCTGGACTGTCTCCTTTCGTTACTGAATACTCTTCTTCGATGATCAAGGCCCACAAATTGAAAATACGTTTGAAATTTCTCCAGACATGCCTTAGTGAAAAAGTTATGCTGAGATCAATCCTCCCACAACGTGTCCTGAAGATTTCTGACCGCCCCTTTGATGAGTTCCAAGAAATCATCCTCAAGAGACATTTTGAAATAAAGAAAATTGAAGTGGATGAAGCTTTCCGTATTGTAAGACAAAAAAAGCGTGTTTTTAATATGACCATACCGAGTTATTGGAAAAAATTCATGTTGGATTACTGTTTTGATAACCTGAGGCGTGAGCGTTCTGATATTCAAGCTAAGATAGACCACAAATTGGCACTCCTTATTAGAAATAGTGATTGGACTAAGGATGCCAATCACAACTGTGTAGTGAATCTCTCCTCTAAACAACTCGACAATGATACCTTGTGTGCCCTCGGCTATGGTTTAAGTTTGATGGTTCTAACAAGGGAGTCGACAGTGTTGACATAGCCAGAGCATTTTGCAATTTGGAGAAATTCAGTAATTTGACAAGTGAAGAAGTGAACATGTGTAAAGGTGTTGTGTATGCATCTATGTCTAAGCCTTGTATTCCAAACTGCCCAAAAAGATTCACCAAAGCAATCCAAGCCCTTAAGAAAAATAAGGATCTACATGTCACTAAAGCAGATAAAGCCAACACATTAGTGATTTTAAACAAAGATGATTATATTTCTAAAATGAATGACCTTTTATGTGATACTACAACATATTCTAAACTCATAAATAATCCTCTCAACACAGTTAACACCCAGTTCAACAAGAAACTGAAGTCTCTATTGAGAGGCAAAGCTACTCTCATTAAACATCTTACTTCAACGTCCCCTCCACTGCCATACATGTACGGTGTAATCAAGACCCACAAGCCTAATAACCCAGCAAGACCCATCATTAGCTCAGTTGGGTCAATCTCTTATAAATTATCTAAATGGGTAGTTTCTTTACTAAATCCCCTAGTTGGCAACATTTCTAACTCTAATATCAAGAATAATATGGATTTGGTTGATAAACTCAATAACTTACATATTAATTATGATTTTAAACTGGTCAGTTTTGATGTAACGTCACTCTTTACAAAGGTCCCAGTTAATGATTTACTGGAGTTCCTCATAGATTCCCTGGAAATATTTCATTGCCCGTCTCGAAAGACGACTTCATCGAACTCATCAAACTATGTATTGAGGATTGTAAATTTGAAATCAATGGAGAATATTATGCTCAAAAATTTGGTATGGCAATGGGTAATCCACTCTCACCTGTATTAAGCAACCTTTATGTGGAATTCTTTGAAAAGAAACTATTAAGTAATATTTTACCACCTTCAGCAGTCTGGTTTAGATATGTAGATGATGTATTATGTCTCTGGCCAAGTAATGAGGACCTAAAAGCTTTCCTGCCACAATTTAAGAACTTAGCCCCCTCGATCAAATTCACTGTGGAATTAGAGCATGACTGTAAATTGCCATTCCTAGACTGTGTGATACACAGAATAGGTAACACCTTTAAGTTCAGTATTTATAGAAAACTTACTAATGTGTGTTCATACATTCATTATTATTCTGCCCACCATAATAGAGTCAAACAGTCAGTATTTTCAACAATGTTTTTACGTGCTTTGAGAATTTGCAGCCCGGAATTCATTGATGAGGAATATAAATATATCTATAATATTGGCTCAAACCTTAAATACCCTAGATCTTTCATAGACAAATGCCTGAACATTACTAAGAAATCTTTTTATAGAACTGATCCCAAGCCCACCCATGACCATAAGAATCTCTTAGTATTACCATTTCACAAAAATTTCTCTCAAATTCCTGTACAACTAAAAACCTGGAACGTCAATGTGGCATTTAAAAACTCGTGCACTGTTAAACAAATGTTAATCAAGAACTCCTCCAACAACACAATTGGTTGCATTTATAAAGTTCCTTGCAAGGAATGTAATATGTTTTACTTAGGCCAGACAGGTAAAGATCTTGTAAGTAGACTTAAACAACATAAATATGGTGTTAGGACTGGCCAGGAATCCAATGCTCTGTTTGTTCATCTGAGGGATAACAAGCATTGCATTGCCTGGGATAATGCCTCCTCAATATTACCTTGTAATTCAATTGACAGTAGGAACATCATAGAATCTAGTCTCATTAAACATACCGAAGCAGTCAACATGAATTTGAGTAATGGCATGTACAAACTGGACAATTTTGTAATTAAGAAGATTTGTAACCAGGTGACCTGACCTGACCTGACTACCGACCGTTGCGGTGCTTTTTAAAGATTAGTAGGGTCATTACCTAATACCTGATCATTGTGGACCTGGTCTCACCCTCCTCTGTATATATACACCTTGTTTTGTACTTCTCCTTAGTCTGTACTCACCCCTGAAGATGTGAATTACACGAAAGCGCTTGGGAACTTCGTGTTTTCTTCTTTCCTTGTGGTTATCAGCTTATACCTGGATCACGCGCAACTACAGTGATTTACTTGCGGGTTGAGGTGTTGATTGTATGTCGAAGTCCGCGTGCTTTATTGGGCTAATGAAATATATATATATATATACTCTAAAGATAGATTGCGTCGTAAAATGTATGAAAATGTTAAAAATAAGGTAAAAAGAATATCCTTTTCTTTATTTACTCATATTAATATAAGTTAAGTCCGCTGTGTAAACTAGAACCACAGATATCAAGAAAAACCCAAATGGTCTTGGAACTGGGAACACTGACTGCCACTGATAGTTGAGTAGCTACAGTGAGTGATAAAGATCACTGAATGATGAAAGCACCTTCTGGACACAGTCAAATACAAATCCACTCACATTTCCAATAGAACTTTCAACATAACGCCGAAATGTTTCGTCGTTCCCAATTCGTTACAGAGTGAGACTAACGGAAATATTCGATTTTCCTCACCAAAAGGTTAAAAAGCAACTGATGTTTCAGCCGATAAGGGAAATTTTTGCATAAGAGACCAAAATTATACTGAAAGTTGACTAGGTAAGGTTAAGTTTGGTTAGGTCAGGTTATGTTAAGTTAAGTTTTGTATGAATCTTTCCATTTATATGTATTTTTATGACCTGCATGCGGAGCTTAAAAATTTATTTACATTAAATCTCATATACGTACAGTAGGTCATAACGATTTTTTTTGTGGATATCATATACTTTATTCATTCATTTATTATTTATAAGTTTAGAGAATGTTCATTTATTATTTATATGTTTACAAAATATTCTTGTTATTTCCATGTTTAAAGATTATTTTATATATAGTCGGTTATCAAGTTTTTAAATAGGTGAAAAGGTTGATAAATGATGGATTTATTGTTGACATATGCTTGTAGGTTAATTGTGAAGATTTTAATCAAAATGGGGAAAGAAAGGGTGGAGAATAGTAATATGCATTTTCGTTAACAGCGTTGCATCTGAACTCGAAAAGCTCTCTGAGAGGCAAAGGCGCGTAGAGCGGTCAACTGAAGCGATTAAGGCTTACGAGGCGTGGCTGGACAAGGTAGAGGAGCGCCAGCCTCTCCGGCTCTACAAAGATGCAAGAACATCCATTGTGGCGCAGCTGCGACCCCCCTGGTGGCCCGGCGGCTCCAGTAACTCATTACTGGGATGTTGATGATGATTCATGACTAAACTGAAATTCTGGTTGAATAAATCCCCATTTTTGGTAGTTACAAGAAACCATTAGTTATGATAAACATCAGATGTTCTGATTATGATTCTATAATGAACTTACGCACACATAATTCGCGCACATGTATAGGAAGGTGTTGTTGTTTATGGGCATACAGTAGCTGAAGTTTTTGCCGAAGAGGGATAAGTTTTTGTTTTTATTGCTATGTCAATGGAAATTAATTTGTATATGGCAAAATTTCTAATGTTTCATCTAAGTCGTCGTTTACTATCATAATGTAGCAAGTAGGTTAGGTTATGATCTACATGATCCTTTATGGCTTGTCAGAAGTCCCCTCCAAAAAGAAATACATGGCAGTTATCGATAATTGACAATTATTCCTATTTAGCATAAAACACACACACACACACACACACATCGCTTTTTGTGCGAGAGATAGGAGACGTAGGACTAGGGTATGTTTTCCTGGGGCTGGGATAGGGCATATAGCCGAGAGGTTAGACAGAGTTTTGTCAGGGGAGGGTACCAAACCAGTAGTGTGTCTTAGTGTGGGAGGAAACGACATAGGTAAGGTTAGGAGTGAGGAACTTCTTGATAAGTTCAAGGCAGCCATAGATTGTATTAGGACTAAGGGAGGGATCCCTATCATATGCGGTGTCCTGCCTAGAAGGGAGTTGGCAGTGAATGGTTGTCAAGGGCAGTTGGTGTTAACGACCGTCTTGACAGATATTGCAAGTCAATATCAGTCCCATTCATTGACAACTGGGACAACTTCTATGGCAGAAGGGACCTTTATGCTAGGGATGGGGTGCACCTGTCTAGGGATGGAGTAGCAACCCTGGCTGGGGCTCTAGAGGGGGCAGTTCAAAAGATATCGAAGTCTTTAAACTGCTAAGAGAACGTAGGGGCACGGGGGTGGAGGAGACTGCAGTGGGAGTGGGTAAACAAGGCGAAAGATTACAGGGAAGCAGTGTTAGGAATGATGACAAAACTAAATTAGACAGGGAGTTTAAAACTAAACGCGGTAAGGGGAGGACTCAGAACACGACTAACTTAAATGTATACTACGCGAACAGTAGAAGTATGAGAAACAAAATGGATGATATTAAGGCCTTGGTATGTACCGAAGAAATCGATATAATTGCATTCACTGAAACATGGATCAACCTAGACACACGTGAATTACCAGTCGAATACCAAATTGCGGGTTACAAACTGTTCCATACCGATAGGCAGACCAGGAAAGGAGGCGGAGTAGCAATCTATGTTAGGGATAATCTGAAGTGTGAAATAAATAAGGAAATAAAAACTGAGAGGAATACAGAAACAATTTGGATAGAATTAAGCGACGGTCGGGAAAAATTAATCACAGGAGTAATATATAGACCCCCCAATCTTGATAGAGTCAATGAGCGACTTATCTGGGATGAAATGCGCAGGGCTTCCATACATAACAAAGTCTGTATAGTAGGCGACTTTAACCTTGGCCAAATAGATTGGACCGACCTTACGGGTAACTCAGAATCAGAGGATTTTCTCGAGACGATCCAGGACTGTTTCCTAAGTCAACATATAACCGAACCCACACGGGGTAATAATATATTGGATTTAGTCTTGTCAAACAGAGAAAACCTCATTAGCAATGTCGAGGTAGGGAACGAACTTGCAAACAGCGATCACAAAGAAATTCGATTCCAGTTAGATTTTCAGGGCAGACGTAAGGAAAATTCCACTAAAGTACCAGATTTCAGAAGGGCAAACTTTGACAGTTTAAAGAGGCAGCTGAGAGAGGGGGTGTCGCGCTTGGCCGTGAACCTGACAGATGACACCGACCTGATAACGAGATCTGAGATTGCCGAGTTCCACGACAATTTAAATAGCGAGTTACTTAATGCACAAAGGCAGAACATACCATACAAAAAACTCAGATCAGACAACAACGACCCTAAATGGATAAATAATTATTTAAAGAACATCATTGGCCAAAGGAAGGCTATAGGTAGAAGGATAAATCGTGGCGAAATTCACCTCCGGGACTATTATAGGGTATTGGCGAGTAGGGTTAAAACCGAGATAAGGAAAGCAAAGAGGAATAATGAGGTAAGGATAGCAAGGAGGCGAAGACAAACCCCAAAGGATTCTACCAAATGTATCAAACTAAAACACGAGAAAAGATTGGACCAATACGGTCAGACTCCGGCGAGCTCACTGATAACGACGGAGAAATGAGCAATAATTTGAATAAATATTTTTCAACAGTTTTCACCACCGAAAATTTAAACATGATACCCGAGGCACCGACTCTATTCAGAGATAGTGAAGAAAACAAATTAAGTGAGATAGTAGTGACTAGTAACGATGTTAGTAAGCAAATAGACAAACTAAAGCCTAATAAGTCACCTGGTCCCGATGAGATATTTGCCAGAGTATTAAAGGAATGTAAGGAAGAGCTTAGTATGCCCTTAGCAAAGTTGTTTAACATGTCCTTAAAAACAGGTGTAGTACCAGAATCCTGGAGGATAGCGAATGTAATACCGATTTTCAAGAAGGGGGATAGATCACTATCTTCTAACTACCGCCCAATCAGTCTAACATCAATAGTAGGCAAATTACTGGAAGCAATCATTTCAAACTCTATTCGAAATCACCTGGAGAAGCACCGATTGATCAATGATTCCCAGCATGGCTTCACAAGCGGACGTTCTTGCCTAACTAATCTATTAACATTCTTTTCATCAGTTTTTGAATCAGTGGACGAGGGGCACAATTATGATGTGGTATATCTCGACTTTAGCAAAGCCTTCGACAGAGTCCCCCACGAAAGACTAATTAGAAAGGTAGAAGCTCATGGCATCAAAGGTGGCATCCTTAAATGGATTAGGGCGTGGTTACAGGACAGAAAACAGCGAGTGAGCATTAACGGCACTAAGTCCCATTGGAGCAACGTCACAAGTGGAGTTCCCCAAGGCTCAGTACTTGGACCATTATTGTTTATTATATACATAAACGACATAGATATCGGCATAGACAGCAACATAAGTAAATTTGCTGATGATACTAAAATAGGACGTGTTATCAAATCTGACGAGGACTCGGCAAAACTACAGGAGGATCTAAACAAATTTTTCGAATGGTCTGAAAAATGGCAGATGACATTCAACATCGACAAATGTAAAGTACTCAGTATAGGAAATGTAAACAGGGAAACCAGATACCAGATGAACAACGATGCCATAGAGAAATCCGACTGCGAGAGAGATTTAGGAGTAATGATAAGTAGGAACCTTAAGCCAAGTAAACAATGTGTTTTTGCTCGTAACAAGGCTAATAAAGTACTTGGGTTCATACAAAGGAGTGTTAGTTACAAGACTAGCGAGGTCATCCTAAAACTGTATCTTGCTCTTGTGAGACCACACCTGGATTATGCAGTTCAGTTCTGGTCACCGTATTACAGAATGGATATAGAATCCCTGGAAAGAATTCAGAGGAGAATGACAAGACTAATCCCGGGCATTAGGAACCTTGAGTATAGAGACAGGTTAAAGCATCTTAATCTGCACTCCCTTGAGAGACGTAGAGCGAGGGGCGACCTGATAGAGGTGTATAAGTGGAAGGCAGGGCTAAACAAAGGGGACATTACAAAGGTACTCAAATTATCCAACCAGGAGCGAACTCGTAACAATGGTTTTAAATTGGACAAATTTAGATTTAGGCGTGAAATAGGTAAACACTGGTTTGGAAACAGAGTAGTGGATGAATGGAACAAGTTACCAAATATCATCATTAACTCGAATACGCTGAATTGCTTCAAACATAGGTTGGATGCTCATATGAGCAATAGGGGTTGGGTGTAAACGGGACTGCCCAGTATGGGCCAATAGGCCCGCTGCAGTTTCCTCCATTCTTGTGTTCTTGTGTTGTGTTCTTGTGTATCGTAGCCTAGTCTACGGCTGGAGGGACAGCTGCTCAGGAAGCACATGGGGGGAACCCTCCGAGCGCTACCCAAGGGGTAGGGGGTCTTCTTCATGTCTCAACATGTGACTGATATTTTAGCAAATTACTTCTTGAATAATCTCCTTTTTTTGTAGTTAAATTTTATGTTACGCCATTTTCAAATAGTTAAAGTGAATGACTTACTATTTTATCTGATTTTATTACTATGAGTTTTTTCTTCTAATTATTAATATATTTAAGATAAGCCGGCTATCAATTCGTGATGTCAACTTCTGTCAACAGAATGAGACTCACAGTCGTCTGTTTTGAACGTTGGCGTGTGGTGTTTGCTTTTTGACAGGTGTGGGCTGCTTGGCTTACTAATAGGTCTTTTATGTTATATATCGTTAACTATTGCCAGTGAAGTGATCGATATTCATAAAAAAAATTCAAAATAATAAAACACTTCATAAAAATTTCAAAGTGATCAGCTTAGGCCAGACATTGCCATATTTGTTTTGACATTTTCGTTTGAAAGTTTAACAGAATTTTAGGAAAATTGATTTTATCGGCATTCATGTCTGTTCAAAATCAGTAACATACCTAGAAAAAAGGTGAGACAGCGAAAAAAAATAAAAATTTAAATACTGTATGTTAGCGCCAGCGGCCATTAAAAATGAGGCTATTTATTGGCATTTGAAAATTTTTAAGGTAAATGAAATGATAAGAAAAATAAAGTATTTTTTTACTGTTCACGTTTATTTATCGAGTGGATACGGAACTTGCGGTAAGTACTCTATTCTAGTGAATATTTATAGATAAAAAAATTACATTTATTTTTTGTTAGGCAAACTAATGTATCAATAATTGTTGTACACATTGTTCGCAACCACGTTTGTCTTTAAAACCTTGAGACCTACTTATATGGGTTAGACTTAGTGACCAAGTCTCAAGTTGATGATCTGATTTTCTGCCCCATTTACACAAAAATGCAGGATCTCAATAGTTTCTCTCACTCTTGATCCGCTTTATTTCATTCTAATCATTTATTAACCTATGGTATCAGTTGGATGGGTCCCACTGGTCGAGAAGGTTGTTAACCCCAGGGTTGACCTGACCCTCATCAAACTACTGGGGCTTCAACTGACGTCACCGGCTTTTTTCACACTTCATTTTTCCAACATTCGCGGCCTGAGATCTAATTTTTCTTCCGTGGAGCACCATCCATTAACCTCTTCTCCCGATCTCATACTACTATCTGAAACTCAATTGACCAAGGCAGCTTCACCCAAACCTTTTCAAATCTCCAACTACAACAATTATACCCCTTTCCGTTCTAATGGAGGTGTATGCGCCAACTGCAACACAAATACACCTATAGATCGACTCACGGATCTTGAATCTTCCCTTTATGGGACTCTTTGACTTTCTCACTTCTTGTCATGAATCACTGCTATCCACACACCCCAACACCGATA